AGAGAGAGAGAGAGAGAGAGAGAGAGAGAGAGAGAGAGAGAGAGATGAGGTATTGGAGAGTAAAGTGTGTGTGGGGGGGAGGTGTTGTGAGGGGAGAAGAAGAAAGGTCAGAGACAGGCTACCGTCTCTCATGCCTATGGGTCCTGATCCTCTGGCTTTACCATCAGAGGCTGCCTATCCCCAGTTGCTTTGATTCCATCCCCACCCCAGCTCCAGGGAAAATGTCCTAGTCAAGTTAAGGAAAGGAGAGGCAAAGGGGGCACAGCCAGAGAAGGAGGAAGCTTAGACCCATTTGTCCTTGTAAGAAACTGGACAGGGAGGCTGCTCTTCTGGTGTGTCACTAAAAGAACAAATGAGTCACCTGAGTTCTGGTGTCCCAGAGGACCTCTTAAGGCCTTCCCTCAGCAGCCCTTCTGCATCCCTAGCCCTTGCCACCTCCCTCCCTGAATAGGCTCTGACCCTGTTTCCAAGTTCCAGGCCCTTTAGTCATCTTGGATTCAAACACTGTTAGGTCTCGTTGGAAAACTGAAGGAGACTTTGGCAGCATTTTCCTGCCAAATACATTCTTTTTGAATAGAACTTAACCGGAAGCTATAACGGCAAGCATTTCTTTGAGACAAAGACAGCTCTCTAGAGCTCTCATCTCCACAGACTGCCAGGGAAATGTGAAGAACCATCCCCAACGCCCTTTTAGCATCAGGACAGAGCCAGCAACACTCTAGGGAGCACCTGCCCCTGGAGAGCTGGGGGCTGGGTGGAGAAGCTCAGCAGAGAGCATTGGCTTGTTCAGAGTAGACAGTGTGAGAATGCTACCTCCAGGACATGAGGAGGTAACCAGGCTCAAAAGATGGGGGCTGCTTGCTTGGTGAGGGAATAACATTGCAGAACAGCTTAGGGAGAAAGGGAGGGGGGAGGGGAGGGGGGAGAGGAGAGGAGTTGGGAGAGGAAGATGAAAATTCAGAAAGCCACCCCTAAGAGGGAGAACAGATGACTCAGATGTGATGGAACAGCTGGCTGAGACCATCTTTGAATGCCAGAGTAAGAATCTAACACTCCATCCTGAGAGTGAAGGGGACATCAGTGGTCCTCAGCCTTCCTAATGCTGTGACCCTTTAATACAGTTCCTCATGCTATGGTGACCCCCAACCATACCATTATTTCCATTGCTACATCTTAACTGTAATTTTGCTACTGTTATGAATCACAATGTAAATATTTTTGGAGATTGAGGTTTGCCAACGGAGTCTCAACCCACAGGTTAAGAACCACTGATATATATGTTCTGGAGTGGTGGGAAGTGAGGAAGAAGGCACGGCCCATAGGAGCCACTGCAGATGTTTTCCTGGCTGGAGGGCAGCAGAGAGGAAAAATGCTCAAGGGTTAGGGTCTAGGCTTCCACTGAGACCCATGAGTTGGATGAACAAACATCAGAGTTCCAGGACCCAACAGATGTGGGGTCGAGTCTCGGCAATTCAGTAAGAAAACCCACTCTATGCCTGCTACCCCAAGCCTCAGTTTCCTCAGCCATGGAAGAGGGTAAAGTCACTATTCCCAGAAGTTATGACAGATATGAAGAGATGTTGCTAGATAAGTGTCTGACGTCACCAGCCTTCCTTCCTTCCGAACCTTCTGGCTCTGTGTTAGGCCAGTGGGGAAAGATGCTCTTTCTCTTTAAGAATGACAAACACTGTGCTCATCACTACGTGTCCTCTCAGTGAATGTCCCCAGAACTCCCCATGAAGTGATACTCTGATCTTCTTCTTGGACAGAAGCTTGACCTGGGGCAGTGAATGGTGGCAAGGAACGCCTACCTCCTCAAGCCCCATCCAGAACATAGCACCCATCTCCCTCTTCCCACTTGATTAGACCAGGATCTCCCAACAGGACTCACCAATCCTGTTATTGGTGTGTTCCGTGGATACTCGGGGCTCTGGAGGTTCCCTGGGAGAAAAAGGATTCCCAGCTGTGCTTTCATCCAGCAGTGGCAGGTTCTCCAGGCAGGCGGCCCCAACACTAGCACACGTCTCTATAGCTGGAGGGCTCACTGGGCTCAACTTGTGTCCAGTGCTGGGATCTGTCACTGATCCATTTCTCTGCAGCTGCTGTGAACAGGAGTAAGGGCTGAGTCAGGGCTCTTCCAACTCCATCTGGGTGTGGGAAGCCAATGAAAAGCTTTTCAAGTTCTTTAAAGCTGCCACAAGTCACCTGACAGCATAAGGCACCTGTATAGCATTCCCACGAATATCCAGGATTCTTCATTCTTTTATTTGCTTGTTGTTTTAATTGAGATAATATCTCACCATATAGCCTTGGCTGATTTAGAACTTAATATATAAATCAGGCTGGCCCAGGAACTCATCCACCTATTTCTACTTCAGATATTGGTACTAAAGGTGTGCACCCAACTATTTGTTTTGTCTTTGTGACCGTCTCTGTAGCCTAGGCTACCCTCAAACTTGATATGTACCTGAGGATGACCTGCTTTCATCTCCCCAATACTGAGACTATGGTACTACCACACCCAGTGTATGCAAGGCTGGGATTCCAGCAGGGTTTTCTGCTTAATAACCAAGCACTCTATCCAATAAGCCACACCCTCTGCTCATGTTGCCTTCACTCTGTGCTGAGCAACAGTCAGTCATTCACGTACTCTTGCTACATCCTGGCTAGTACTAAGAGGGATGTGCCATCCTCACAACCCCACGGATGGAGAAACTGAGGCCTGGTGGAGGAGTGGAGTAACTTGGCCAGGGTCATATATACACACAGTTAGTACGTTTTTAGCCAAGGATCTACATGCTGGAGTCTCCTCCAGCCTCACCAACTCCTGGTGCCTCTTCAAGTTCTGGGAGAGAAGTCTTTAACCGTATCCTAATACATTACCAAAAAAGAGAGCCCCATCTTTAGAAATGTATTAGTTTGGTTCCTCACATTTATGAGTAAGTACAAAGGTAATGAAATACCTGGTGTGTGACATTCACCTGCAGTCTTCAAAAGGATCCAGGGTGAGAGATCCAGAGAACAGATCTATGGCATCTTGATTATTCTTTTACAAAAATTTGAAGGCCAGGGCCGTGGCTATAGCTCAGGACTGTAGGGTCTGCCTAGCACTCCAATTTGATTCCCAGAACAGGACGCTCCCCCTCCACCTCCCACCCCCTCCACTAATTTTAGCCAGGCATAGTGCATGCCTCTAATCCTAACACTTGGTGAAGGAAGGAGGATCAGAAGTTCACGATCATTCTCAGCTACATAATGAATTTATCACTAATCTGGACTACATGAAATCTTGTCTCAAAAAAAAAAGTAAATATGGGGCTAGAAAAATGACTCTGTAGTTGAGGGCACTGGCTGCTCCTCCTCCTCTAGAGAACCAGGACTTGGTTCCTAGCACCCACACAGTGACTCACAATCTTTTGTAACTCCAGTTCCAGGGGATTTGTTGCCCTTTTCTTATTCCTACAGGTACCAGGCATGTATGCAGTGCACAGACATACATGTAAGAAATCACCCATACACATGATTTTAAAAAAAAAGTAAATCGAGGAAAAAGTAGTTGTTGTGAAAGCAAACAAGCATGGGGTGGGAGGCAGAGAGAGAAGTGTTAAGCAACTTGTTCAATTGGGGGAACAAAAAGCAAAAAGCGTGTGGCCACGTGCAGGTGCCTCATCTTGAAGTCTGCACTCCCTCTCTCAGCTCGGGCCCCATCATCATATGTCCCCTGGAATCCGAACACAGGGCAGGTCTCCAGCACAAGCCTAAAGAGGACTCAGCAATGTGTAGCCTCCCCAAAGCCCTGAATCTGGCACACATATGGAGTCGTCTGTAAGAGGCGATGCAAGTGCTCCCATCCCTGCCCCCCCCCCCCCAGGAGGCAGCCAGGGGACCAGGGTCCAGCAACAGCTCTGAACTCCCTCAGTACAGGCTGAGATTCTAATGGAGCCACCAACTGTGTATCCCCTGACTCCTCGGATTGCCACTTCCTCCTTTACCAAATGAGACAGGAGTAGCAACTCCTGGGAGTCAAAAGGACTTGGGGGTAACATTTAGAAAACACAAAGAAAGGTGTCTAGCAAGGTGGAAGTGGTGGCTCACACCTGGATTTCAAGGTCAGCACAGGCTGCACAGTAAAAGCAGCAAGAGACAGCAGAGGAGGGAGCACGATGTCTAGCAGATGGTAAACGCTCAATATGTATAACTAACTTTGTAAGATGCTGCTGGTGACGATCATCCAGCTTGGCGGACAAGACTCCCAGAGGAAAGAAGAGAGTCTCCCTCCAGACTAGACTTGGTACCTCAAAGTGGCCCAAACTGAGCTGTTGTCTGCAATCCCTGCTGGAAATCCCCTGGGGCTGAGCCAGGAGCTGGAGGTTGCTGTGGGGTGGAGCCCTCCTCTCTCTCTCTCTCTCTCTCTCTCTGGTTAAACCCTACCACCCTGGTTAAACCAACACCCTGGGTACCTGGCCCCTTAACCAGGAACCCTGGGTGCCAGGGAAGAGGATAGCTCTGTGGTCCTTCTATGGCCCTAGCAGCCCTGAATCTACAGACGTGAAAGGAAGTGAAACAAAAGGACAGAGACTGAGGTGGGTGTTGGAGATAGCACTTACAGTTAGCTTTTCAGTAGGACAGGAATCTGTTAAAAAAAAAAAGTAGCAATGTCACCAAAGACAGTCTGACATCCCTTCACCACTTCCCATCTGTTAACAGAGAGCACTCTGGGATCTCAGTGGGGCTGAGCCTTGCCCTTTCCAGGGCTCAAGCCCTTGACTGACAATTTCAGGATTATCCCCCCTGGCATGCCTGAAACCCAGCCTCTGAGGCAGGAGTGAGTTGGGGCTTCCTTTCCAAAAGTCTAGACTGCAACCCTTCTGCAGGAGACTCTTGTTCTGTGCCTCATTTCTCTTTGTACCACAAATCTGAGGGCTCTGGAATGCCTGGATCATAATTCTCAGAACACACCCCTTCTCTATCCACCTCAGTCCCTGTCATTCACCCCAGTATCCTTCCTTCTGTCTTAAACAGAGACTAGGTACCCACATACAAGATGACATTTAACCATTGCTCACCAGCTCCCTGAGAAAAGGAGGAAGTGGCCACATAGTATCAAGTCCAACCTAACTGAAGCTAGCCCCGGCCCACCATGGACTATACCATAGGGGGACAGAGTCATTACTAACTCCCAGGGGCTCAGTTACGGACCCTTCGATGTCATTCAGGTTCACACTGATAAGGCAAGCATGCTAGTAAAGGCCAGCATGACTGGTGAGCTGCTTCTAGAACATGCTTTCTAGCTTAGCAGCTTGATCCTGAATCCTAATTGATGTAGGCACAGTAGATTAACCAACAAGGAACAAACCGAAATGTTATTCGACCACTCTGCAGCTTGGGATGAAGTCCTAGAGGTCTGGAAGGGAAATGGGCTAGAGTCGTGCTCAGTCTCAGAGTAGCAAATATGCTTTGCTGACAGAACCTGGTAACCACTGTCCCCAGCAGAGGCGTTACTCAGGAAGTCATGGCTTCTCTTTAGGTGACCACTAACCACCAAGACCAAGCCATTGCCACTTCAGGTGTGTGTGTGTGTGTATGTGTTTTATTAGGCTATATGTGTGAGTGTTTTGCCTGCATGTGTGTTTGTGTACCACATGCATGTCTGGTACCCACGGAAACTGAAAGAGGGTATTGGATACCCTGGAAATAGAGTCACAGACAACTGTGAACCACCATTTTCATGCTAGGAATTGAATCCGAGTCCTCTAGAAGAGCAGCCAGTGCTCCTAAGCACTGAGCCATCTCTTCAGCCCATGATTTGCTCATTTTATTTGTCAGATTTTTGTCTTGTGAGACAAGGTCTAAGTGGTCATTTGAAAAGTGATATCAGTGAAACTAAATCTTTGTCCTTTGGAAACAACCTTGAGTTTTGCAATCAGCCAACTGACATGTGGTGCCAAGACATTGTGGGAGCCTGGAGAAGACAAAAAAGTGTGTGCCAAAGAAGCAAGAGAGTAAACTGTCTTGAGATAGAAGCAGGTAGGCTAGAAGCTGAAACACTGTAAGTAGGCACCATCTCTTTACAGAGCCTTTTGACTAAAACCCTTGCGACCTTTGAATCAGGGCCCCTCCCCGCCCTGTATGGACCACACCCTCAGGAAGTCACACAAATGAAGACAAACACAGGAGTGTTTATAATTACTTCAAAATTGGAACGATGCCAAGTGCCAAACAATAGTGTCGCTGAGCCATCCATCACAATACTTCATTGGAGGGAAACTAGCTCTACTTCCTCTAAGATTCAGCCTTTTTATCTGGGAAACGGAACAAACCTGGCTAACTCTGAAGGGGTTTATGAAGATAGAGTAGAGATCTCAAAGTAGCAGGTAGGGCAGGAGGTGAGGGTCAGGGAGGCATTAGTGGAGGGCAGTTGTCTCTCGTGTGTGTGAAGGGGCCAGGACTCTATTCACAACATGAACATGCCGATGTGTTTCTCTCTCCCTCTCCCTCTCCCTCTCCCTCTCCCTCCCCCTCCCCCTGTCCCCCCTTCCCCCTCCCCTCCCCCTTTCTTCCCTCTCCCTCTCCCTCCCCCTCCCCCTCCTTCTCTCCCTCCTCTTCCTCTCCCCCCAACACACAGTAGGATTCCTGTGATAAGCCACCTGGAGAACAGGGTGTGATGAACATGGCTCTGTGCTCTGAGGTTTTCCTCCCCCAAATCCAGAACCCTGTTCTCATTGTACAAAAGAATTTTAGGTAAATCCTGACAGGTGGAATTCTGCAAAATGTCTGAGCAGTGCTGTCAAAGGCCACTTAGGTCAAAAGTCTGAGAAGCTGTCACAGGAGAGCTTAAAGAGATGTCTGTCTGGATTTAAGAAGGGTCCTTGGCACCTTAAGAAAAGCCAAGTAAAGAAATAATAAGTGTGTGTTTTATTGTTTAATCACAATATATTAAGGCTGGAGAGGTGGCTGAGACGTTAAGAGCACTGGCCACTCTTCATGGGGATCTGGATTCCATTCCTAGCATCCACATGGTGGCTTACAACCTCTGTAACTCCAATTTCAAGGGATCCATTGCCCTCTTCTGGCCTCAGTGGGCACTATGCTTGTGGTATAGTTACATACATGCAAGCAAATGCTCATACACACTTTAGAAAGTTAAAAATTAAAATGATCCATTATTGTTTATTTATTTAACTGTGGTTATGCATCACCCCAATATAAGAGGTCAATAAAATCATTTGGGCATGTCCACATTGGGACTCCATTATTTTCTCAATTTGGGGAGAGGAGTAAAATACTGGCCTCGAACTTGTCTGGGGATGACCTGAACTCCTGATCTCTCTCACCCTGCAAATGCTGATATTACAAATGGTTTTGAAACAGGTTCTCACTATGCAGCCCCGGCTGATGTGAATACACAGAGATCCACTTGCCTCTGCTGAAATTAAAGGCACATACCACCTGCCTCTGTCTCCCAAGAGCTGGAACTGCAGGTGTGTACTACCACACTATTTTGAGGTGCTGATGATTGTCCTCTTTTCTGGAGCCTTTCCAGGCCATCTCTCCATCTAGGAGATTAAGGCTGTTATGTCTCCAATTGCAAACTTCTACCTCGGGGCTGTCCTACCTCTTGCAGCTCTGTGATGGGACTGACTGCACAGTGTCAGAGATGGAAGGAACAGATTCCTTTTAGCCCAACATTCTTCTAAAAAGTGAAATCTCATTAGGATTTTTCCAAGCTAAATTATTACCAAGGGGCTGAGGACCCCCTGTAAGAGGCCCCAGGTTTGTTAACACAGCTTAGACATTCTATGACAGGAGAAAGAAAGTATAGATTCTAACTCTCAGAAACAAGCATGTACTAACACCAAGGTGGGGGAAAAAGCAGAATCTAAAGCTGGACGGTGGTGGCACACACCTTTGATCCCAGCACTACAAAGGGTGGCATAGGCTGGCTAATCTTTGAGTTCAAGGCCTGTCTGGTTTAAAAATCAAGTTCCAGGATATCGAGGGCTACACAGACAAACCCTGTCTTAAAAAGCCAAGAAATAAACTAATTAAATTAAAAAAAATAGAAGGGAGAATCTAGAGGGACCCAGCATCTGCCAATAGCCTGCCCTGTTACAGCCTGTGAATTCGCTGAGAAAGACCCAAAGTAGAACTTGCCAAGGGCAGAGTTCAGATTGCCCAAGGCTCTTCCCCTAAAACTATTGCATTAGCCTGCTTGTCCTCATTTGTTGGTTTCCTTGCTTTTTGAATAATTAGAATCTTCTTGTAAATCTATCTGGTATCCCAGGGCCCAAGTCCAGGACAGACTGTACAGCAGTGGCCCCAGGCTCAGTTGGATGCTCACTGAGCTGCTCCAAAGTCCAAGCTTGGAGATTCATGAGTGGCAGAGATTTCAGAGCTTTAACTCTCCCTCCCAGTCCCATGGTAGAGCTGTGGAAGGCAGGGCAGCTCTGAGGTAGAAGTTTGCAACTGGGACCTGTAGACTTAGTGAATAGGCTCCCTAGGTGGAGAGATGTCCTGGAAGGGCTCCCGGAAAAAAAAAAAATTCCCAGCACCTCAAAATAGCATGCTGGTACACATCTGGAGTTCTAGTGCATGAGAAGGAGAGACAGGTAGATCTCTGTGTATTGTTGCCAGCTATGGTTACATAGTGAGAACATGTCTTTAAAAACAAGCAAACAAGCCGGGCAGTGGTGGTGCATGTGTTTAATCCCAGCACTTGGGAGGCAGAGGCAGGCAGATTTCTGAGTTTGAGGCCAGCCTGGTCTACAGAATGAGTTCCAGGACAGTCAGGGCTACACAGAGAAACCCTGTCTCAAAAAACCAAACAAAAACAAACAAGCAACAAGCAAACAAACAAACAAAAGCAAAAGACCCTACAAAATAAAACAACAACAAAAACAACAACCCCTATCCCCCTTACACACACACACACACACACACAAAATTCAAGGCCAATCTCAGCTACAGGATGTATTTGAGGACATCTGGGCTACATGAGACCTTGTTTTAAAAAATCAGAACCAAAACCAAAAAGGTATCCCTAACACAAAAGGACATGTCCTGAGAGACTCCTACTATCCAGCTCAGGGACCGTGATTAAGAATCTGTTATAATGATGGCAACATTAAAATAATGAAAGAAACCTATGAATGCAGATATACATACACCAACAAGAAAACAAACCATGATTAAAAGCAGATTATTGACAAGTCTCAAAACCCTTCTTTACCAGTCATTACCAAGGCATTATCAAAGTGTGGCCTGGCTGATGGCTGCATGGGATCGAAACCAAAGATGCTACTAGAACACATCAAAAAAAAAAAAAAAACCAGTCTGGCCAGGTATGATGGCACATCTCGTTCCAGTACTTGGGAGGCAGAGGTAGGTTGGTCTGTGTTTGAGGCCAGTCTGGTCTACAGAGTGAGTTTCAGGACAGCCAGGGCTACACAGAGAAATCCTGTCTCAAAAGAAAAAAAAGAGAGAGAGAAAGGATGAAGGAAGGAAGCAGAAGGGGAAGGGAAAGGGGAAGGAGAAGGGGAAGGAGAGAAGGAAGACGAGAAGG